CTGGCAGTGGGAGGCTGTCACTCCGTGGTGGCCGGTATAGTGCGTTGCTTTATGCCTACTTGTTTGTTTTATCGCCTATGATATGAACAGGTGGATTAGATGATTCAAGACTCGTGGTGGCTCTTAACTTCTCATATGAGTACAAAGAATTCCCAAAGATGGGTCTGTGTCCAGGTGCGCTGGATTCTGGAGAGCACTCGGAGGGTCCTCTTTACTGGAGGCTGTTTATGGTAGTCTTTCTAGGTGGGGCTGTTGTTGTTTTTAAAGTTTCAGAGCAAAATGGAAGGCAGGAGCTCCCTCCCAGGTTTGAAGTGTTAGAAGGTAGCTGGCGACATAGCGTGACCTCTCTCAAAACCAATCATTTACATTTAAGGATCTTTAAAGGATCTCATGGTTCATTTGCCAACAATGTATTTTTTTTTAAATATTTCCTTCAAACCACTCACAAGGATCTCACGAGTGGTGTTGATGGGATATTAAAAAAACACACTTTGTTGGCAAATGAAGCATAGAAATGAAAGCACAAGAGAGAGGGAGGGTGGAACTTGGGAGGTCTCTGGAAAGCCACACAGTTCCTGAGTTTGCTACCAGCTTGTTGCACAACAATGGCAATTGGCAAAGGATGGTATTTTGAGTTTTCTTAGCGTCCTAGATGCTCCTTGGCCAGTTCTGGGTTTTCAGCGGGTGTGGAGTCAGTGCTCCCTGGGCTGGTATCTCGAATCTGTTTCTTCCTGTGGCACTTACTCCTCATCTCCCTCTGCTTCTCTCCCCGCATTCATTACCCACCCAACTCTCTGGAGGGCGGGAGAGGACACTTTACACATCATCAAGAAAGGATGGTCCCTGGTTTCTAACAAATTATTTAAATCATCTTGAAAATGTATGAGCCTATTGAAATGTCAGCACAGGGTTTCGGTCTTTTTCTCCTGAACTTGAAATAAGATTTTACCAAAAACAAACAAACAAACAAAACAGAAAAACAAACAAACAACAACAATGCACCAGGTGACCAGAGGGCCTTGTTATGTTCGGCTTGACTTGTCTGTGTAGACATATTGTGGCAAGCCCATGGGCAGCATAGACCAGTTTTGGTCCATCTGGTACAGGTGGCCTCAGGAATGTTGTCCTGCTGGCTGGGAATGCTTGGATGGCTTCCCTGTAAATGGGAAGAGAGCTTGAAATGGGAATTGCTTCCTGGAAATGGGAAGAGAACTTGCAATGCCGAGATGCAAACCATGACAGAGCCTTGATTTGCAGGCCAATGCAGTAGGTGCTCAACCATTGTTTGCACGAAAAAGAACAGCATGTCCTAGTCAGGTATGTGGCGTGTCCACCCTGTATCCTCTGAGTGTTAGAACTGGTCTCACTAATTGTCCACCTGCACCGACGTGATGGCGTCTTAGTCAGTGAGGGAGCGGCCACCACTTGGAAGTTCGGCTCAAGTGGCTGCCAGGGAGACACTTGCCCTGCAGTAACCGCTGTTACTCAGGAGGGTGGAGGAGGATGTGAGCCCCAAGGGACCTGCCCGTGAGTCAGAGATGTTTGGGGCCCGAGGAAGCTGGGTGTGCTGGGGTTTCTGTATCCCCATGGCTGGTTAGTTGACCAGCAAGGCCCATTTCTGGCTTTCTCCCAGGCTCCCTCCTCAGTAGCAGCACCTGTGTCTGCCCTTCCCCCACTGCAGACACCATCCTGTCCTTTGTTCTCGGCGCCCTGCAATTTGGGATTGAGATGTGTTCACTGCGGCATCCATTCAGGACGTGAGATACCGGTCCACCTCCTCACTGAACAGAAAGGAAACTGAGTGGTTAGGGCTTGCCCATGTGCCCCAGCGAACCAGGCAGGCCCCAGGTCTGTGGGACGGTGATTTCTAACTCTGCAGTCTGACCCAGTGCCTGGGCCTAGCCTGGCACAGGCCCTCAGAGATGCCCTGGTCCCTGTGCTGCCTCTGCAGGGTTGGTGCTCTCGGGCTTTGCTCTGTGCTGTGTGCTGGACTGGTTGCTCCATTAGACTGGAGGCTGCACCCATGGAAGGCTGGAGTTTCCCTGAATCAGAGGCGTTAGCTGCCGAGGCTCCTCTGGCGCTCACTGCATCCTCAGCGCCAGCAGGCTCGCCGGTGCTCCTTTTCCAGTAAGCCTTGGGGACCAACCACATTTCCCCAACCAGTAGGATGTACAGTCTGGACCCAGGCATTGGGCTGATATCTGTGAATTCCTCCTGTACCTTTCCCCACAAGGACTTCCTGTTGGCTTTCCAGCACTCCTTCTCAGGTCTGGCTCTTCCCGCTCAACGTGGCCTTTCTTGCCTTGTCCCTCCCATTGCTGGTGGTTGTCTCTATTCCCAGCAAAGGTGAGGTTTCGCTGAGAAGTCAGATCCCAGCCTCTCTCTTATTTCCTTGTTCCCCATGTGGCAATTGTATATTTGGCGTCACCCAAGGTGACCAGCTTTGGGCGGGGGTTCGTTCTCTTACCTCTCTCACCATGTTGGTTTTGGTGACTCTGTCTTGTTGACTGTTGTTAATTGTTTAAATTCAGCTTTACACGCGGAGCTCAATGACCACACCGGGGTTGGGCGCCAGGGCATTGCCTAGGAGACGGGCATCTCTGGAGAGGAGACGTGTGATGTGTGAGGGCTCCACACCTGGTTGTGTGGTGAAGGAAACAGAGCCCACAAGCAGAAGTGATCAGCTCAAGGTCAAAGCCAATGCTGGGCTCTGGCTGTCTGACTCCCACTCCAGGTTTCTTTCTATCACAAAGACACACTGTCCAGTGAATTCCAAGGAAGTGTCTTTCCTCACACAGTTTCTGCCAGAACAAGGCGCTACAACACAAACTCAACATAGAATGCTGTAGCAAAGCTTGGGTTGTAATTAGAATAATCTTATAAACGCCTACATAATTATTTTTTTAAAAAGATGAACCTCACATCGTTAGAACAAGGGTGTGAGGGACCGGCGGCAGTATGGGAGGAGTCAGGCAGGCACTGGGTCTTGAGCTTGACAGTTGCCAAGCCCTGACTGTGGCATCTAACAAACATCTTGTTTTTTCATTGTCCTTACATTTTCACCATATGGTTAGTAACGTCTTTGGAGGAAAAAATACGTCATATGATATATTCCTAGTGGAGAACATAATTATGAAAGGAACTATTCCCCAGGTAACACTGTGCACCCCAAGGATGACTTCACCGGCTTCTGACACAGTAATCACGTTCCCTCGAGGAATTCGCTCACGTGGCCTAAGTGGATGGGACAATATGGACTTCGTCAGGTCAGGGGACCACTTGGACAGCCCAGGCGGGTTGCTCTTGCTGAGCCCTCCGTGTGACTTACTTCTGAAAGCAGCTTCTGCTTCCTGTAAATAGACACGTTGTTGGGGACATTTAGGACCCCGTGCTGAGAAGGGAATCCGCAGCCTGATCTTCTGAGATGGAGATGTGGGCGGTGCTGAGAAGATCTGACACTTACGTAGCACATCCTGGCTTTCAGGGCTCACTCACACAGGGGTCTCTTTTTCACTGGGATGTGACTGGTCACAATTTACAGGTGGCGTGCTTGAGGTCCTCTGGATAGTGCTGGCACCCGCCCGCCAAAGGAGGCCAGAGAATTTTCCATGTGTGATTTTCCACGTGTGACAGGAAAGCAGGTCCACTTGGCTCAGGGGCTAATTCTGCCCTTTTTGCCTTGGAGTACATATCCCAGGGCACAGGTGCACACGAGGTGGGACCTGATAGCAGGTCTGTGGGATTCGAGGCTAAGACCCAACAAGGAACCCCAGTGAGTGCCTGGCTTTGAGGAGGGCACGCCTCTCACCCCAGTTTACGGAACTATTAGCACTGCCTTGACAACTCGGACCCATTTTCCTTTTAACTGACCTGCTTGGAAGTCACTGACCTCTGCCATTCCTAAGAAATCTCCTGGTCTTTTGGACCCTCTCCCACTGTCCTGCCTTCTCCCCTCAGAAGTGAGGCTGAGGGGAGCGACATGCCTTCACACAGACAGATGACATTGTTCTTACGCATTCAACACCCCTCCCGGGATTCTTTTGTGATGAAGTTCCGATTGAGAACAAAAACAACCATATCTGGGACTTTAGCAAGTTCTCTTTCCTCTTCCTCGGCCAGGCTGCTGTCCCGACAGGATAGCACTCCCCTGGGATGAAATCGCATCTCCCGCTTGGAAACCCAACCCTCCAGCCTCCTCCCCGCCCGATGCCAGGGAGGAGCGGGACGATCCGGGCAGCTCCTGCTTCTCTGTACTGGTTTGCTGTTAAGCTGTAAAAATAATGTGTTTCAACACCTTTCTCAAATTCAAGTTGGCTCTCTCTTCATTACCATCGCTCTTCCCAAGGCCTGTAAGGACAGGCTGGGTAAAATGAGCGAATGTGCCTTTCATAAATGCCTTTCAGGAATCCCATTCAGGGGAGACTGGAGTCTCACCAAGTGCTGGATGACTTGGGCGGGGGCTGCAGAAACCCCCCATGGCCGCAGTGGGCTTTCAGGGATGGGCTGCTCCGGTTCAGAGGGGATTTCTAGTCCCCTGGCAGGAATGGATTACTCTTGTGCTTCTCAGGAACCACTATGCTGAGGTGGGTTTTCTTTTGGAAAAGGAAATACTCTGCCTTTGTTTTTTGTTTTTTTTAAAATATATCTTATTGATTTTTTACAGAGAGGAAAGGAGAAGGACAGAGGGTTAGAAACATTGATGAGAGAGAAACATTGACTAGCTTCCTCCTGCACATCCCCCACTGGGGATGTGCCTGCAACCAAGGTACATGCCCTGACCGGAATTGAACCTGGGAACCTTCAGTCTGCAGGCCCACGCTCTAACCACTGAGCCAAACTAGTCTCGGCGGCTCTGCCTTTGTCTTTCTCTGAGGCTGTGGCTAGTCTCTCATCTGGGGCAGTGTGGTGAACCTAACCCCTGTTTGCGAGGGCTCCGTGCTTGAGGCTGGGCTGTTCTAACTGGAGCCACGCCGAGAGATCCTCTCTTCCCCTCTGAGCCAGTTCCTAGGTTCTCAGTTCTAGAAGGCTCCCCGGGGCAGGCAGGACACCCTCAGGGCCCTTTGATGATGGGTCTTCCAGAACAGTTCTGGTCATTTGCCTGATGGGCTCAGAGAGCTGCTTTGAAAGGTTGCTGAGCACGGACCGGCTCTCTCGGCAGACTCGTGACAGGCGAC